GCTGAGGCTTGAACTCACAACTTCTGAGACTGAGGTCTGGCTTCTATCTCACTGAGCTAATTGGCAAGTGACAGTTCATGTGTGGCTTCACAAATTGACTAAGCCAAGCATCAGGGTGCCAGACAGTAGCCATCCATGCCATGGAAAAGCAAATTTCAAAGTGAAAGTTCCAAAGCTGTAGCACATATGGTTGATTTGTTATGAATTTTCAAAGTTTTGAAATTTAGAGGCTTGCTGTAGCGCCACCATCAGGACTATTGTCTTGTGTTTCCAGTTGAGGACATCTGGCATGGGACTGGACCTTTATGAAAAGTTTGGGTAGATTTCTCATATGGAAATGTTGCACAAGCTGAGGCTTGAACTCACAATCTTCAACACCAAGAACCATCCTCTATCTCACTGAGCTAATTGGCAAACAGAAATGTCACATGTAGCTTCACAAATTGACTAAGCCAGTCACCTGTGTGCAAGACAGCAGCTGTTAGTGTGTAAAGGCAGATTTCAAACGGCTGTCAAAAATTCAATTATTAAGACAAAAATCCGAAAATACACAAATTGCATCTAGACAGCATGGAGATGTTGGTAATTTGTTTGTAACAATGATTTATTGGCTCCATAAGTGAAAAACTGATGTTTAAAACTGCCATTTTTGCATTGACTCCAATTGTTCGCATGAGAGCAAAATTCAAAATAGAGATAAAATTCTGATATTTTCCAAACATCATCTACCATGACTCCAAAATATTGTCATTTTTTTAATGAACATTGAAAATGTATTTAGCAAGAATTTGCACGTATATGTTTACAGTCAAACATTTTGATGCACTGTAGGCTCAATTTTCGATAAATCAAAAATCTGAGAAACGTAGTTTGTGTAGGACAGTCTGAAGATGCTCTGTAGCAAGTTTGGTGTCAATTGAGCAAAAATTGTGGGAGGAGATACGTTTAAATCTGTAGCACATATGGTTCATTTGTTGTGAATTTTCAAAATTTTGAACTTTAGAGGCTTGCTGTAGCGCCACCATCAGGACTATTGGCCTGTTTTTGCAGCTGAGGCAATCTGGCATGGGTATGATCTCTCCCTCTTTCTCCAGCCTAGTGAACGAGTTGGCACTGACTGCCAGGAAGATGTATGCTGATGAAGCAAAGAGCAGCGGACTGGTCAGGTAAACACATCCTCTACAGAATCATACACATATGTCTGTGTTGTCTCACATTAAAAAGTGTTAAATAGTTTCACTGAACCTGGGCCAAAGACAGATACCAGGCTGTTTTAATTTTGTCATTGTTGATTCTGACATGGATCATCAGCATCACCTAAATGCTAAATTGATTCGAGGAGGAGGAGAGGATGCAGTGTAGTGATATTTTTAGTGGATTAACCAGAAATCTTCAGGCAAACTTCTGGATGTTATATCATATACAAAAACAAACTGGTTATGCAGGATCATTAATATTGGACTCAGTAAACACGTTGGACCTGCTTTGTGATACAGACCCCCACAGCTAAAAAGTGGCTACAGGTTTGTTCTCGTTAACACAGGGGCTCTTTACTGAAATACATGAGTGGTGCAAGATGAGCTCCATCTGGGGTCTAATCTGTGTTCTTCAGTTTCAAACTCCCACTCAGGAGTCTGGCAGGTTTGGCGATAGCACTTCAGGGGCTGTTTCTTGTTAAACAAAAAGGTTTCTCTGTAGGATTTCTATAATGTTGTCAGACACTTAAAATAACAGTGTGTGTGTGTGTTTGTTTTTTTGGCAAAAACAAACACTTTCAGTGGACATAAACTAACGGTGCAAACATGCCCAAATGGTGACATTGCAGCCCTTTTCACTCTCAATACTGGACTCATTTCAGAACCTGTTGTTCTCATTAGTCACATAGACACAAAACATGAAAATGGGGTCCAGGTTGGAAAATACTACAGTTACCCTTTCAGTATTTCATCTTAAATTTTCCCACATTTCCTCCCCAGCCGAGTGTTTGCAGATAAGGAGGCCATGATGGCTGGAGCTCTGGAGATGGCCGGGGAGATCGCTGGTCGCAGCCCTGTAGCTGTGCAGGGCACCAAAGTCAACCTAATCTATTCCAGAGACCACAGTGTAGCAGAGGGACTGGACTACATGGTGAGACCACCTTTGAAATAACATAAAAAATAATTGAGGATTTTTCTGAGCATGCTTCTTTTGTCAGCTGCAATTAGTCAATTGAATACCTTGTTGATCATTCCCAGGCCACCTGGAACATGAGCATGCTTCAGACTCATGATGTGATGAAATCAGCTCAGGCCTCCATGGAGAAGAAGAGTCCCAAGACGGTAGCTTTCTCCAAACTCTAAACCTCAAATACACAACACAAAAGCTGCTGTTTACTCCTCCATTGTGGCCTTCCATGGGAACCACGTGTGACTTTGTCTTTTTAAGCTATCTAGCCATCTGTGGCCATTTGACGATGACATAATGTGACTTAATAAAGATGGCTTGAGTCCACTACTGGAAATATTATGTCAAGATCTATATTACTGTTTGCCTGGAAAAGCCTCCAAAACAGTTTTGATAACAGGATACTGTTCTTTCCATTTAAACTGAGGAATTAAAAAGTCATCTATGTGTGAGGTCAGAATCATAACTAAAGTCGGGCTAACTTCCTCCCCTGGGTGACGTCTTACAAGCTAATAAGAAGTGACTCTCAGCTCATCGCAGTAAAGCAGTAACAGCCAGTTTGGTAATTCTGTCATCGACTTCATGAATGTTTTCTTATTAAAGAAACTCAACTGACAGTTAGCGCTGACTGTGATCCATAGTAACCTGTTATTTTGTCAAGTAATTTTGCAACAAAGATGCCAAACGTGGATTCAAATAACTTAAAATGCTTTATTATTAAATCTTTACAAAATAACTTAAATGTACAAAAGCATAACTAGAACACATTCAGACTCACTACAGATTCTGCTTGGCACGAAGTTTCTGTAAGGTTTTCTGTGAAGAGATGTGAGAAAATATTCTGGAATCAACTTCAGGCAACCAAAACAAGATATTTTGTTGCTTGCAGTTCTGTAATAAGCACATTATGTTTAAAAACATTTTCTCAAATAAACACAAATAATTCTAGTGTTTACCTTGTGGAACTCTTTGGCCTTCAGTTTGTTCTTTGCAAAAGCTTCCTGTCTGTTCCTGATGGCTTTCTGATGTTTCACCTCCTCCAGCTGCTCGTACAGTCTGCAGGAACACGATGGCACACACACACATATGCTGCATCATTGTTTTGGGAATGCCACATCTTTTAGATTTAATGCCAGTAATCAATTCAGGTTCAACCAATTAAATTATATTGTAAGAAAAAAAAAACATCTGATTTGATTGGTAGGAGTATTGTGTAGGGGTGGTGATAGGTGTTCATGTAGGGAAAGCTGTTGGAGCATTTATTCCACATCTTTGATATCAGACATCAGTTTACTCTACTAGTTTGGTCTTTGACAATACTAGTCAGACATTCTGTCTGTCTAGTTGAACAAAAACTCTTACTGTTAATTCTTTCAGCAACTAGTCATATTTTTACCCAACAAGTTTCAACCAGAATTTCTGACATCACAAATTCCTCCAAATGTTAGACACTGGTAGGGAGCAGATGGTGTACACTACACAGCAGATAATGCAGAACAAAGCTGAAATCACTGACTCTGAAATGGGTCCTGCAGCTCAAAATTTGGGTCAGACACAGGCTCAAATCGTACAGCATATGACCAGCTTTACTTTAGTTCAACAGTGGAAGAAACTGCCATCTGACATGAAGCATATGGAATAAATGCTCAAAAGTCTTTCCAAAGATAAACATTTACTCCACAGTAGATGGTGCAGCACTTAAAAGCTTATAATATTCAAGTATTACCTCTGAGTTCTTTGGTGCATCTCAAAAACATCCCGTTTCCTTTGCTCTGGTGTGCAGGTCTTCACCTCATCCAACTTTTTCAGCCTGGAATCGCTCACTGAATAATAATAATAATAATAATTATGAAATGAATGAATTCCCAATCCCAGCACCCTTTCCATTCTAAAGGTCAGATGTCCGTATCAAATTATCACTTCCATGAAGGCAACTTGACCACACACACTCCAAAGATTTTTTTTCTCCTTTAGTTTAATCTGTACACACAGATTTCCACCTCGATATTTTTTTCTGCTATATGACCCTGGGGGGCTCTGTAGTAGTCTACAGAAATAATATTTTAAAAATGATTAGATTTTTCAGCTGTACAGAGACTACTGATGTTCTGTAGGTGGCTAAGAAAAGTGCAACTCATCAGATTAAAGTCCATCAGGGAGGTGAATGGCCGGGATAATTCTGACTTTGGGACTAGTTTTAATCAAAAAATACAATTTAAAGTTGTGCGTTAGGTAGAAAATGTCCACCAGGAGACAAAAATGTTGGAAATGAGTTTGAGAACCACTGCCTTAGATAGAACATTTTGTCAGTGTACCACTTTGAAATATTTTTCAGCCACGTGCACCCTGACCAGCACAAAACATTTTGGCAGACAAAAACAAAAAAGACGATATAAAAAGGTACAGTACAGCACCATCAGTGTCTGATTTACTGAACAACCTTGTAACTGACAAACACTTCAATGCTACATTTCAAATGTTTAGAAATAGTTACTAAATTCATGGCAAAACAATTTGGCATGATGCAGTAACACTAGATGGCCATGTAGTTGCATTAAAGTGCATCATTTTGTAAGTTTCATTTACAATTTAGTGATATAATTATTTTAGCAAGGTGCCTCACAAACAGCTCTAACTTGTGGGCCTGTATGGTTATTTTTCACCATCCATGAAACAAATGTAGTGCTCACAATATTTAAAGTGACTTAATGTGTCAAATTATATTAAGTTGAGATACCTGGAAGGGGAAGCTGGGCCTTTTTCTGCTTGGTGAATCCAGATTTCTCAGTGGTCTGATGTGGCTCAGCCTGCTCCTCCTTTGACTTGGCATTAGTCTTGTGTTGAGATTCTGACTTCATCTTTGCCCCACAGGTGACAGGTTGAGAGTCCTGAGCTTTAGACTGCTCTCTTGCTTCAGATGGAGCTTGGATCTTAGGTTGAATCTTAGCAAAAGCCCCTGTGGCCTTGATTTCCTCCACCCTACGGGACGATCTCTGGAGCAGTGCTCTGCGTTTCTGCTGGTGGACCTCCTGTAGGTCTCTGCTGGGACCCCACTGAAACTCCAGGAGCATCGCTGAATCTAGCGAGGGACATTTTTTCAAAAGTTTACAATGTTACTGACTAAATGACTAAAAAAAGATGCAAAAAGAAGTTTGTTAATTATTACTCCTTTGTTCCTGATCACATTCATCTTTAAAAGGGATACAATTCAGGATTTTCCTACAAAACAATGTACAGACTAATACAGAAGTAATACCTCTCAATCATCACTTATGAGCCACTAGAAGGGTGTGGTGGTGTATTATTCTGCAGAGGCTCTTCCCTCTGCCTGTATTTTCATATTTTCTGTCCTCAAAACCTTTATGGGTGTGTACCCCCACGGTGGTTAGGGAAGGTCAAGACTTTATAAAAAGGTAGCAACCAGGTGCCAGCCTGTAAGCAGCAAGCTATCTGAGAGGAAGCTATGAAAATCATAGCGCTGAATAAAAACATAAATATAGTGAAGCGAAATGCCAAGCGGACAAAGTTTGTTCAAAAACTAGTGAATCTGGAATTGGCTTTCACTTTCACTAGAAACAGCCGACACTTCCTGCATAGCACACCTTTAAGTCAGAAACATGTTTCCCCACAATTCAGGTATCTCACACATGCAGCACTCCCAACAGTGTTATATCTCAGATATATTTAGTCTGTAACTGTTGCGGTTTTACCTGGAGGTGTTTGTTTCTTGTCCTCTGGAGTCTCATCCAGTGACATCGAGGATTCTGACCCCTAGAAAAGACAAGATTTGTGTTCAGAGATCATTAAGACGCCTGCCACTGAAATCAAAAAGTCAAAAACATGTATAGACAGTCACCTCTGTCTCGTGGCCTTTCTGTCCCTGTTCCTCAGTGATGGTTATTTCTTGGTCTTGCAGTGTTGTGTCTGTCAGGCTCACTAGTGTTATCTCTGACTGTTCCAGGATCCCCTTCTCACTGGCAGCTTCCTATTTGGCAGGAAGATATAACAAGTACACAACTCAGCCAGTGACACACGTGAGTTATAGAAATAGGTAAAAGCTGCCAATAAGGTTTAAAAACATTATAAAGGAGTCATTTTCCAAAACAAACTGTGACCTTTGACTCTACAAGTCAACCTGCAGTTTAAGTGTGACAGAACAATGCAGTGCTCTAAATAGGCAGGTGTTGTCTTTGTAAGCACTGCAATGGTCGGTTAATGTCTGAAAGATGATGCAACAAAAAAACAAAATCATACCAATATCTTATTGGAGACAGGACAGAGGTCACCAAGTGGGATTGAATTTCTCCTTTCAGAAACACAGTTTCTATCGGCATCCGCTTCTTCTGGCTGCAAGGTGCCCACAGTAGGTGCATCATCACACATGGTTAAATTTGACAGACTCAGAGCTGTTAGCTCCACCTCTGCTCTCATGGGAGACATCATGAGAGCAGATTCATCAGGATGGTTCTGTGATGTGATGAGCTGGGTGAAAGAGTCGGGTAAGGCAGGGGAAGCTGTGATGCAGCGAGACGACTCCTCCGTTCTGAGGCGCTCAGGTGATGGTTCAGACTCGATAGAAGCATCAGTGTGGCTTGGTGTGGAAACACTGGGTTCCCCACTGGCTGGCTGTCCGTCAGGGGAGGTAGGCACATTGTGTTCAGGCAGGTGAAAGGTCATGGAGGGGTCTACTGTTTCATTGTGGGTGACCTCAGCTAGCAGCAGATGGAATGACTCTGAGCCTGGAAACACTAAAGATGGTGATAAACATAAAACACTGTTAAGTTCCTAAGGAAGTCAGAAAAATACATGCACACTACAGCTGTTATGGTTTGTGTATTCATACCGAACTGTCACGGTATGGGGGTCAGGGTCCAGTGCACAAAGCCGCATGCAGAATACACAGTCTGTAAACTGATGCACTTAATTTGGAACAAAGTTCACAAGTGTAGGTTCTGCACCAAAACTTTAAGCCCTGCACTGTTAGCAACGTAATAACAAGCGGACTGGCCTGCACGACAGAGCTGGAAGACGTGCAGCACGTTCACGGTTAGCTATAACAGCGACAGAGATTTGTGTAAAAGACAAAGACTACGTGTCAACATTGCTCCAATGTTGTAGGGTCTGTCAATGGAAACACGTCCCAAATGCTACGCACATTCGACATCATCACCCAGGTGTGTCGATCGCCGGGATGATAACTGTTTGAGTGCTTTGAATATTTAAATATATCCAAGGTGGAACTAAGTGAAACACTCCTCCTAATGCCCAAGTTTTATTTTTTATTAATCTATTTGTTGTGTATTTTCAACTTCATATCATGAGAGCATTTTCAGTTTTATAGCCTGTTATGGTATAAAGATGTGCCTAAAAAAAGTTTCCTAAATCAAACCTTAACTTGACTTAAGCTACTAACTGAAACTACAGATATACAAACTGTTTGTGATCATAGTGTACTCCCTCCAATACAACCACCATACGGCCATTTTAGAATTCACTGTAACTACTTGAATATTTTATACCTCACCTTCAGTGCTCTGTGGGCCCAGGTCCATTGGACTGGTTTGGTTCTGCAGTGTCTGGTCCTGTGGAGGTGGATTCACATCTGGAACAGAGGCACTGTGTGATGAGGCTTCGGGAGGCAACGCTGGGTATGACGGCCCACTGGCCTCAGCTGAGACACCAAGTTCCACGTGGGTTCTTTCATCTACAAACAAACCAACGGTTGAATAAGAACAGAAGAAATCACCAGTCAACAATGTTTCAACTACAACTGCAACTAACATTGCTTCATTTGATTCATTCATTTGTATTTATCCATTCATTGTTTAACGATAAGACTTTGCAAAGATGACAGTCAGCCACTGTGAAATTATACAAGTTAATAACTAGAAGGTTGGAGTCTGCCTTTTTTTAAACTAGAAGTTTAAACCCTAACTGCACGTTTCAGTTCCCCATACACCTTGTTTTACCTGAGTTTCCACTGTGCTGGCCAGCGGACTCATCCAGCTCCCCAACCAGCGGTCTCATTCGGCTCTCCTCTGGACCTTCATCCAACCATGTGGTCGACTGCTCCGATGACGTCTGACCCATCAGCTGACCTGCATAAAAGTCCTGCCCCCCACTCAGCCAGTGAAAGCTGGACTGATGGGAGAGTCGACCAATCATCCGACTCAGAGTGGAATCCCATCCACCTTGATCCGAGCTCACTGACACTGGTGGACCTGGTAGCTGACCAATCATGGACGAGTGAGCAGATGGTTGACCAACCAGTTGCACCATGGCCGAATCCCTCTGATCAGCAGCGAGACAGGATGACTGGTCTGTCAGCTGGCCAATCAGAGGTCTGAAAGACTCTTGGTCCTCAGTCAGTGACAGGTCCTCGCCTGAGTGGTGCTCCAGGATTGGATTTACTGTATTGTGCCATTCCTGAAGCAAAAACATTAATTGAATTTAGTGTATTTTATTTAAGAGAAATTCTGAAATGAAGTAGAATATATGCGCAGACAGATATGCACTGAACTGCAGTAACATCCATTAGCACCACATATACTGTACATTACAGTTTACCTTTAAAGCTATAGTGTGTAACTTCTACAGGTCCATAAATGTCTGTTTCACCCAAGCCACTACTAGAGGAGATGACACAATGCTGATTAAGCCGATCGGCTCCTCTAACATCTCGTGGTATTTTTCAATATATATCATTTTTAGTATGCATGTAGACCGGCGACATTCCCGCGCTGGCACACAGGAAATGCTTCCTCACAACAAGAAGGGAGGGGGAGGACGAGCGGAGAGTGTCATAGCAAGAGGTAGAGCGCAGGTAGAAAGAAAAAGTAACATGGCGGAGAAGCGGCTGAGACACGGTTCAGAAGTGGATCCTACCACAAAGGCAAGTGTTACTCTGTGTACGGTGTGTGGCGACTGGCAAGTGTTACTCTGTGTACATGGTGTGTGGCGACTGTTACTCTGTGTACATGGAAGTGCCGCCGGCTTATGAGTTGTAATAACGCATTATCCACTGGGAGGCGACAGAAGTTACGCACAACAGCTTTAAATACCAGTTTGTATATTTTCCCTAAGTAGCCACAAAAAAACAGTGTTACAACTTATAATTAAAGAAATGACAATTGTGGATTGTGAGTCACTGACCAGGCCGCTCATCTGTGCACCTGCAGTCTCTGAGGGAAGAGACTGATGAGCTGTGGAGCTTTCATCCTCCCCTCTCCTCTCCAGGACTCGAACCAAAGACTGCTGAGAAACTGAAGGGCCAGGTTCCTCCTCATACGAGCCTTCACTGTCTGCAAACCAACAAAGAGGAAACAACACAATGTACTAACATGATGCAATTATCTGCTATGAAATGCTGATTTATGTGAAACAAGCGAGTTTGGCCTGTTCAAACTATACCTGTAGTTCTGCCAGCAGTGCTGAGGGAGATGTTGAGCTCCCTTGTGTATCTGTCTATAATGTGCTGGATGCTGCTGTCATTAAACAGAGAGTCTACAGCCAGACCAGGACGGCCTGCAGTTGCGCTGTCCTTAGTACAAAAGCTTTGACCGGATGGAGAGGAGACGTTGAGTAAATCTGCTTCTTGTCCTTGTTCTACATGATGTCTGAGCAGTGGGGATTTATCTAATGAAGAAGAGGGAGGCGAAAAAGAGAGACAGATTTAGGCTATGATAAAGTTAGACAAAGAACCAGCATGTTGTCTGGTGTACATACAATATGGGTCATGTGTACAGCATTGTCACGAACAACGCTTCTTGTTTTCAGGTATACTAAAGAAAACACTTATTTCACTACATTCCATTTTTGCCTATATATCCCTCTACATCCACAAAGATTCAAAGCACAATCATCCACATGGTCAAAAATCTGGAACAAACCACGACAAAAACACCACTTGCTACAAGACACACTCCTGCTGTCCCTCACCAGTGTTGACGTTTTGATCAGGATCTGTGGTGATGTAGCTGCCGGTGGAGATGGTGGTGGAGGAGAGGCAGTCAGAATCAGGAGGCCGACATGCAGACTGACACATACATACACACAGACACACAAAATAAAGGTGTTAAGGAGATGAACAGATTCAGAAAACCCATATATGCACACAGACACACTGAGCTCAGTTCAAGTGTAGAAACCTTCATGAAATGCTTTTTTTATTAAATGCATTTCAGGTGGAGTAGATTTACATCATCGCTCAGAAAAAAACACACACACACAGGCACACAAATAGGCAGTCACGCATACAAACAGGGAGACAGAAACACACACACACAAAGTAAAGGCTTCTCAGGCATAATCAAAGGCTGAGGCAGATAATGCCCCAGCACTCAGATTTGGCTAGTTTTCATCATTGATCCACAACATGTGAACCTCAGAGGGTATCAAAACACTGTGCCACTATGCAATGAAATTCATGTCATACATATGTTTCTAAAATTCAAGCATACAATTATCACTGGTGTCTGTAAAATGTTGTTAATGTGGGCATAATCAGTGCAAAAGCATCACTTTGATTACAACTGTACAAGGGAAAACACTTAGAGCTGCCAATTTGCAACATGACAATAAAAACCCAAAGGTTATGCAACAAAGAGCAGGCAGGTGCTTGTTCACTGCATATTGACCAAAACTGTTTTTTCCCTTGTAAAGTTCTGTTTAGTGTCTGCTGCAAAGGTTTGCCACAAGCTTGACAACTTGAAAGAGAAGAAAGAACCAACACTAAGTGTTGTACGTTTTGAATTGGCCTGGTTACCTCTGTGGGGGATCTGTAGCTTGTGATTGCAGGCCCAGAGCAGTCGCCTCCTCTCCCAGAGTCAGACAAAAGGGGTGAGATTTTCCTCAGGCCTGAATCTAAAAGACAACCAAGTGGTAATACCTTATATTCAACTTTTTTTATCTTCTCATCAAATTTACTTCCCATCTGTATTCTTTATCTCATTACTCTTCACCTGCCATCTACATACCGGCCTCTGAAGGTTCTGGAGATGTCCCTGCCCCCATCAGTAGCCTCTCTCTCCAGGTGGGATGGCTGGATCTCCTTGAGCTCGTTCCAGAGCCGGTTGATTGTTCAGCACTATGCTGAGTCATGTCAGAGACCACAGATGATTCTGAATCCCCCTGAAGATCCGAGTCCAGAGTGTGTGAGGGAACCGCCATGCTATCCTCTGGGCCTGGAGACATGAAAACATCAACAATCAACTGATAATCCTCTTCATAGCCTGTCACATAGTGTGAGTATGGGATGAAAACAGTCATTTGTTTCTGGGGTTAAGCTGACCTGTGACTTGGCTGGTGTTGACTGGTGTCTCCACCTCTTGAATGGCACTAAGCTCATGTTGTTCAGTCATCATCTCCATGATGCCTGGCCTGACGCGAGTCACTGGGGGCTTTGCTGCTCGAGGAGGCGGAGGGAGGAGTCCTGAGGAGATGACTGATGCCAGGGCATGTCCAGCAAGAACATTGCTCTGAGAGATGAGATCTTAATGGAAAAATAAAACATTTATTCTCCAATTTTAATGAAACTGTAGTATTTAATAGTGACGTGGGAATAGGGAAACGTGCAGCCTTTTATGTTAATGAAGCAATAAATTATTCTGCACACACTACACTGACTGAGTTTGCAGCTGCAAAACCTGTTGTTCTTCCTGCATTCAGCATCATTATTTGACATGACAGTGACGTAGTTGGACATGAGGAAGAACTATGTGTTAGATTTCACCTCTGGGTAACCAGGGAGCATGCTCTAGATGCTGCTAAAAAACCAGAACTTCCTTGTTCTCTTTGCTTTATTGCAAAGTAATTACATTTCCAGCATGCCTACATGCAGACTTACACATACATACACACAGACACACAAAATAAATGTGTTAAGGAGATTAACAGATTCAGAAAAGCCATATATGCACACAGACACACTGAGCTCAGTTCAAGTGTAGAAACCATCATGAAATGCTTTTTTTTATTAAATGCACTTCAGGTGGAGTAGATTTACATCATCGCTCAGACACACACATACACACACACACACATAAATATAAATATAAATGTTAATATAAATAAATGTGTTAAGGAGATGAACAGATTCAGAAAACCCATACATGCACATAGACACACTGAGCTCAGTTCAAGTGTAGAAACCATCATGAAATGCTTTTTTTATTAAATGCACTTCAGGTGGAGTAGATTTACATCATTGCTCAGAAACACACACACACACACACACACACACATCATCATTTGATGTGACAGTGATGTAGTTGACAGTGACGTGAGGAAGAACTACGTGTTAGATTTCACCACTGGGTAACCAGGGAGCATGCTCTAGATGCTAGAAAAAAACAGAACTTCCTTGTTGTCTTTGCTTGTATTGCAAAGTAGTTCCATTTCCAACAGCAAAAATGGCATCCCAAAATTTGAGTGTAGAAGATGTTATAGAAAGGGGTACATTAAACAGTGTTTTGGATGACTCAGATATTCAGCTGTATTTATTCAAGCCACAAGATACAGCCAAAGAAATGCAGCGTGGTGAAGCTGCCGTAAGAGGTTATGGCTGGTGATCCCCACCAGTACCCCTCCAGAACCTGAACTTCCACGAACAAAGACTGACCGGTGATACCTTTGAAAAATTGCCCATCGATGCCGTCATCATTCTGCTGCAATGACCGGGTTTTGGAAGATTTTGGGAATTGGGCGTCAGGAGCTTGCACATAATGCATCTTGGTACATGTACTGCAGGCACTGCCAACACGGCTCCCTGAATAGGAAAACTCAGCTTTCTTGGTCAATGTGGCACCCACCGAGAAATTTATTGTTTCAATTAGAGATGTACCGATACCACTTTTTCCTTCCAGATACCGATTCCGATCCCTGAACCTTAGGTATCTGCCGATACCGAGTACCGATCCGATACCAGTGCGTAAAATAAAAATGGATGGGATATGAATTGTGTCTCAACTCCTAAAACTCTATGTAAAATATTAAGAAATTAATACATAATAGTAGAACGAATGCCATAAAACTTTTTTATTATTATTATTATGCAGTGTTGACACAGATCAAGACACAGGTTAAAGTGCAGCCAAACAATTTGATAAAAAAAGACATTTTAAAGGCTACAGTAGAATGCTTTTTAAACTCTGGTCCATTCCCGTTTCGTTTGCCTGTAGCGTGCGCATGTGTAATGACGTGAGGCATTATGTGGTATCGGATTGGTCATAGGCTGTACTCGCCGATACCCGTTACCGCATATTAGGCAGTATCGGAGGCATTTCCGATACTGGTATCGGTATCGGTACAACTCTAGTTTCAATAGTACATTTAGCATCAACACTGACTGGATATCAACATAAAAAGGTGGTGAATTTTCCCTTTAAGCATGTGCCATTGTATTTGTAACAGAACTGCAAATGCCACTAGCATTTACAGCAATTTGTCTTATAAGTTGGACTTTAAAGGAAAACATGTAAATCCCTCCAATTAATTTTGATAACCATTACTGAACCAATCAATCAATCAATCAATCAATCAATCAATCAATTTTATTTATAAAGCCCAATATCACAAATCACAATTTGCCTCACAGGGCTTTACAGCATACAACATCCCTCTGTCCTTTGAACCCGCACAGCGGATAAGGAAAAACTCCCCAAAAAAAACCCTTTAACGGGGGAAAAAAAACCAAACAGCAAGAGGCAACCTGGGACTTTTTGGTAGGATTACAAATAGAAAATTATAGTGTAAATGCACTTAGTGGAAAAAGGTTTCCATTGTGAAGTAAAAGGGAAAATGTGTGAACATGTACAATCTGATATTTCAGTTACCTGTCTCACTGATAGAAGGCGGCTGTGGAGGGGATCCATCTGTCTCCTGAGGGTCTTCTAGGTGTGATAAAGTTCCTCCGTGAGACTCCTCTATAGCTCTCAGCAGGGATGAGAGTAATTTTCGGCGGGTCTTACTAATGTTCTCTGAAACCAACACTTCACTGGCAGCCTCTGGAACTGGCTATGGTGAGATAATGCATCAGGAAAGTTGTTTTCCCATACAGGCACACAGACGCACTGAGCTCAGTTCAAGTATTAAAAAAACATAATTTAACATATTTTTAATTAAATACACTTTAGGAACACTAACTTTACATCATAACTCAATGGACAGAAACAAACGTCCACACACACACTCATGCAAACACATTCACTCCATACAGGCACCATCAGGAAAGTTGATTTCCCCCATGTGCTGTGTTTCTATTTCTATATAATCAAAACTGCTCTTCAGCAGAGTGAATTCTCACAATCAAGGAGGGCTCTTTCTACTTACTACCTCATTCCACTCTTTATATTTGTGCAGTAACAAACTATGATTTATCTACTGTACTGTGACAAAAACACCAGGGCAGTGATCTTCCCTTCACTTACTTGTGCATCAGTATGAATCAGAGCCTGTAATGTCTCCTTTTGATGTCTCATCTGCTCCATCTCCACTTCCTGTCTCTGTTGCTGCTCTCCCTGTCTCTGCCTCTCCTTTTCTTGCTGCCTCTGATGCAGCTCCACTGCCTCCATCTGCTCCAGCACCCGTCTCTGGACCTCCCTCAGCTCTCGTCTCTGCCTCTCCATGTCGTCGTCCTCCCTGGAGCTGAGCGACCCAGACCGCAGGGAGTCATGCGGCACGCTCCCAGGTTTAACCACTGCATGGCCTGGAACCAGAGCTGCACCATCTGTGATGCTCGGACTAATCGCTCTGATGGGATCAAAGGTTGGCTGGAGTAGGATGCTGGTTGACTGATGTGTTGTGAACAGTTTTTGAGGCAGTGGCTCTGAAGAAGGTCTCACTCTGTGTGTTAGATGCTCTGTTACTCTCTCCATTATGTTGTCAGTCAGCCAGGTGGTGAGATCAGGTCTCTGGTCCCTGGGACCGCTTGAAATAGAATCAACTTCATCCGGCAGCAATTTCGAGCTTCCACTGGAGCCAGGAAGTCGTGAAGGTGAAGCCAACATGTCACACTCTCTTGTGGGGACTTCCACAGGGGTTTGTGATGTAGCATGGATGTAGGCAGGCACTACTGGAGTTGAAGGGGGTTGCAGAGGAGCTGGGAGATTCCTAGACTGAGCACTGTACAGAGGTGGGGGAATGAGGACTGAGGGAACGACAACAGGCAGCAACGATGTGGTGATCGTGTTGTGACGAATTCGTAGAGCTTTTTGATATTCCTCCAGGCGCTGGCGAGCCACCTCCACTGACCTCTGGTGAATTCTAAAATTAAAAAGGTGGTTCAAGAAACAAAAGTCAAGTCAGTTTTATTTATACAGCCCAAGATCACAAATCTACCTCAAGGTCTTTACAGTGTGTATAGCATGCGACACCAACAATACTTAGATCCTCTAAAGCTGTATTCTTTGAGGAATGTGTGAGATAAGTACAGTGACAGTAGAAGTAACACAGTACATATGAAAGGTGAATTATGCTGTTACCTGTCGAGATCTATTTAAGAATAACTTCAAAGAAAAATGGGTGAACGTGACTGGTTAACCACAAAACAGTCTTTAAACACACCTGTTTTGTTCCAGCAGTCGGTGCTGATATTCTTTAATCCTTCTGGAGTGGTCATGTTCACCTGCAGGAGGCACCGGCTGTAGAGTGCAGAGGTAGCAATTGTTTAACACTGACGTAATTAAACTACACTAGACAGTTCACTACAGGATACCTCACCCCCGAAATGATCATTTGTATATCAGTTACTCTCCCTGTGTTACACTGAATCTGTGCACATTTTTCTGGCATGCCTCTGGTGAACGAAGAATCCAAAAATGCAGAAAATTCTTGATGAATTTAAGTCATAGGAAACTACATTTAACAACAGCAAAACTTTATCGAAACATCAGTGTACAAACTCTCACAACTCATGCAGTATAATCCAAGTCTCATTAATCCAGTTGTACGCTCAGTGCTTCTCTGACAGGAAACTGAACGGAAAGTGAAACTTGTCTCTGCTCTCCTCAAAGCCAGACCCCACTGACAAAATCAGTAATTTTAACCTTGCAAAATACGAGAGCTGCTGGTCTACCACTGCCTTGATCAGTTAGTTTAATACACTGCAACATACTTCTGCAGGGTCATAAGTGATGATTGAGAGGGATTACTTCTGTATGTTTTTAGAAAAATCCTGCAATAGTATACTTCAAATGTGGTCACCTATGACTTCAGTTCATCAAGAATTTTCTCCACTGTTTCTACATTCATCAAAAGGCATGCCAGAAGCACAGTTTTCTTGAATTCAACATTACACAGGGTGAATAACTGATATACAAATTGTCATTTAGAACATTAAGTATTCCTTTAAAGGACAACCCAACAAAACCTGTAAAAAAATGGAATTTGACAGAAATATTGAGAGATAAAAGAAATATGAGAACAGGTTAACTGAGGATAGCTTTGACACTGTATTGAAAGGGCCTACCTCAGTGACGAGACCAGGAATGACAGAGGTGACATTCTTGTCATGGACAGGTACTTCTGGTTGGTTAACAGGTACTCCCTTGGTAACAACAGCCCTCAGATCTTCCCTCTCCTGCTGAGCTTCAAGCAGCATCTGCTCCAATCTGGCTTTCTGCTCTTCCAGCTTCTGGAGCAAAACCATCTGCTGCTGCTTCTCCCTCTCAAGCTCCTCTTCCTGAACCCCCCCCCCACAGAGGGAAAGAAAACATGTGAGGCATCAGTTGTCATAAAGAAAACACAAGTTGAGACTTTTCAGTTTGACTGAAAAGGGAGAACCCATACGCTAAAATTTGTCTTAGTACTTTCTCCTGTGAAATATAGTCCTCAGAGGATCACCCTTTCTTGCTAGCAAAGATTGAGACTCCTGTGATCCTGTGCTTGAATGTAGATGCAGCATCCACCTGCCCCCATTATGCTCTGCTCCATTTTTATTTAAAGAAAAATCTGAGTGTGTTGACTCCAAAACAAGGGATCAAGTCAAGGTCTGTAGTTGTTTTATCGTACTAATAAAACACAGGTTAAAGCAGAGGAAAACTGTAATGCAGAGGGAGATATGACCGCACCCTGCTCACACACTCCTGCTTTAGAAAGAGGCTGGACTAATTATGTAGTGAGGAACACCTGGATCAAGGACTTTCGACCAATCACAAAAAATGTATGAGGCTGATGGGGTAACAAAAGAGCCAGACTTTGCATTCTTTGAAAACTTATATAGTTAACACAGAATAACCTCTCTGATAGAGTGGTAAATTCCTGGTACCTTGATGTGACATAAAACTCAGCACTGGATTATAAGCTTTCTGCTCCTTAAAATTGAATTGTTTGTTGTCATTTAATGTGCAAAATGCAAGAAGACAAGCTGCAATCAAGCAGTAATGTCTTTGCCTTCACAACAAGAAAACAATGGAGATTACCATAACAGCACAAAGCAAGTTGCCACTGAGACACTGACTTTCCGGTGACTCTAACAATACGTTTTTGTGTGAATTAACAACAGTCACTAGATGCACAGTACAAGCATTTAAACTTGTGCAGATACCTGCTCCTGCTTATATGTTCATGCATAGTGTGCAAAAACAGTTCATGCTCTGTATCATATAAATGGAAATCATTATGTACCCTTTTCTTCCGTTCTTCTTCAAATTCTTGGATTCTGTTGGCGAGTATATCAAGTAGAGTATCTGCTGCAGTTGACTGTGCTGTTGTCTCCAACTCTGGTCCAACTAAATACAAAAAACCAAACAAAAACAAGCACAAATACATAAAATGATTACTACTAAATATCTTAATTTTTCAGTATAGAGATGTACAGTATATTTGGAAAACAAAACAGGAACAAATCTCAAATTTGAGAAGAATGAATAAAAACCCAAAAGAAAAAAAAAAACAGCTGCTATAACTCAATAGTCTGGTAGTAATCTGAAATGGTTTGACTATATATATATATATATATATATATATATATATATATATATATAAATCTTAACTATTGAAAATACATTTGAACAACTTATTTAGAACATTTTTAATGTATGTGTTTTTAAAATTAATTAATCAATAATTGTGTTCCCTTATTTATCTATTTCATTATTTTTTTTTTTTTAAAAAAAAGATATTTATCTATTTCTCTAGTTATTCAGTTATGTGTTCTACCTTTGTCTTTTTGATGTTTGTTTATAAGGAAAAGAAGCACAACAATACCATGTTTTGTTATCTTTGAAAATGATGTTTCACAATTAAAACATTAGAACAATATAGAGTTTGTAGGGTGGTATTATGCTACTGCCACGGTATACCAGGGTATTTAAGAATCCCCACTGTATGATTTTCAAAACATTTCAAAGTACAGACACTTATCTTTCTATTTAACTCATACTGAGAGGCTGTAATGAGGATGTATTATGTGTAGTGCACAGTATGTCCCACCAGAGCTCAGGCTCTACTGGTGGAACAGGCAGCTGAACTGAGAAATGTTACAGGACTGTAAACAGCCAGCCAGCAAAATCAGAGAGAGACTGCAGAGAAAAACAGCACATATTCACATCTCACTCGGTAAATTGAGAAGTTATTGTGACCAAACCAGAGCTGGTGATTGTTGGAACATTGGAATAACTAACTTAATGACTACCACGACTAACTAAGATGGGTTTGTTTTATTTTGTGTCTGTCTACTTTGAATGAAGTGTGTTTGAGGTAACACATAGCGCTTCACACTAATATCATCATAAACTGTATACCCCAATGAAATGTCAGGAAGGTATTAAGATATACAAAAATAGATACCGCCTAAGCCTAAGAGTTTGCCAACCTACAAATGACAAAATGTGCAATAAGCGTGTAACTGTATATAACTACAATCTTAGCTCCAATAATTGTCTATGCTTAAAAGGTGTCACCTGTCAGACTGAGGCTGAAAAAAGGGAGTCTATGTTATTCCAGCCTTTGGTCTTGGTATAACCTGCCGGCTAGACTCAATCTAAACTCCTGCATCTCTCTAACCAGTTTTAAACAAGTTAATAGGAGTCCTTACTACCAACTGTTTCTGCTACAATGGCATGTCTTGATGCCTTTTTGTCCATATGTATTGTATATTATCTGTGGACATTCAACTTTATCTTTTGATGTGTGAACAGCAGGTTTTACTCTGTACCAATTATGATTGATTGTTTTGTATTTTATTGTATGTATGTAATTGATGTGTTCTAGACATAACCTTGCTGCCTTGTTGGCCATTTCACCACTGAAAAAACCACTGATTTTTATCTGGTTAAATAAAGGTTATCTTACAGCGTGCAATGTCCTTACATTGGTGAATACCATTTGGCATAATGTACAAATAGTTTCTGATATGCCACAGATTTTTTTTAAATCTCTTTCTTTTGTTGTAACTAATATTTATCTGTATGGCAGGTGCACATATGTGTGTATGGTTAATGTAACATTTCAGAAGATGCACAGTGAATTTGGTTGTACAACGTGAAATGACAGTAACAGGTATTCTATTCTATTTTATTCAAAGCCCAGATAAATGAGCGTAAATGGGGGGTAAAATATGAAAATAATAAAAAAAATTGTGATTTTATTACATTGTGCACAGCCTTCTAGGTTAACTTTATTTATTCAGTGGTTAACAGTGAATGTTGACTTACCCCGTGGTGAGTGGGCAGGCTCAGGGAGCCTGATGGGGGCCAGGATGTCTTTCTCCTCACTGGTCAGAGAGCCTGTATCGATGGTTGTGTCGTGCTCTGGGATCTGATCGACGTTGGCGGTCGGTGATTCAGCTGCAGGGACTCGACTGCTGTGGTCAATCCACTGGTTCCTCTGGCTCCTGATACGATCCAGGAGTTTCTTCAATGCCTTTCTTGGACCAGGTCCGGAGGGTTCCACTGCAAGTAAAGAAAAACGCTGACTGCAGCTCTGGCTTGGGAAAGACGAGTTTCAAGGAAATTACATCAAGGTTATCACACAGGACAGTCAGATTTTATTCAGCGTTGGTGACTATGAGATACTTGAACAGACATTTATGATCTTTACATGTTTTGTATAGCAAGACAATCTTCACAAATGAACACCACTTTTAAGATTTTTGAAGATGAATTGCAATCACCAGAAGTAAAAAGCTAATGTTAGGCTATAAACAAACTGCACTACAGTCGCATGACTCAGACGAGGACTAATGACTCCCATCCTCTGCAGGAGGAGATAAAAGCTCTGGAGAGCTCCTTCAGCGATAGACTGATTCACCCAAAGTGTGTGAAGGAGCGCTATCGCAGGTCCTTCCTGCCTGCTGCTGTCAGGCTACATAACCAGCACTGCTCACAGTAAACTGCACCATGGACACTTTAGGGACACTATGGACACTTTATAAACACCACAATAAGCATTGCTGTCCCCCATGTTGTTGTTTATTTGCACATTCAATATTCACTTGCACTAAATATGTTCACTTTAATCCATTGCTCACTTTTTATCCACTGCTCATTATTATTATTATTATTATTTATTGCTGTTTCTTGTATTTTTTGTACTTTTTTTCTGCATGCCTAGTTTTTGTTTTTTAAGTTTTTTAAATATTGAAATCTTTAATTTGACTCTTTACCCTTGACTGCTGTAACACTGGAATTTCTCAATTGTGGGATCAATAAAGGTGTATCTTATCTTATCTTATCTTATTTTAAGTTGTAGAAAAAAACTTGAAAGTCTCTTAAACTTATGTGAACCACAGACATTATTTCAGGCACCTAACAAAAAACCCACTGATTTGAACCAGAAGTGCAAAAAAGGTCCAGAAATGAGCATTGAAATTTAAACACTAAATTACTGCTCTTTATGTCTGGCCTGAAAATTTTGATAAACAATGCTGCAGAAAAAAAAGAACCTTTAGGTTTTATTGTATCTGGTGCTTCTCTTCACCTTGAGCAGATGTTTCCTGCTCTTCCTGCTCAGTGTCATGTTGTGTGTTTTCTGCTCCTTGTGCAGTGGTTTCATCCAGTGTGACGTCCAGCTCTTGGTCCTGGTTGCCTGTGGACAGAGCTGGCAGGGGCTCAGGTACCAGCTGTACCACCAGGTCTCCTTTAACCCCTGGAATCAGACACAGCCAAGGTTCCATTAGAAACGTCCATAAACACAAAATCTCCCACCAAAGTACTGAGGCTATTTTACTATGCAAAAATACCAATAAAGCTCACCTTCTGGCTACTTTTTTAAGCAAAGCTACAAGTACTGAATTATAATTATACAGATTTTTTTGTGACTACTTGTTACAAAACACATTTATAGTTAAATACTACACCACTGAACAATCCTTACTCCTCTCTCCGGTGTACATGTCCTCAAAGGCAAATTCCATCTCCCTCTGGAAGTCCTCCCTTGTCTCCTGTCTCTTATAGAGAGGCTGGAATATCTGAGGAGGCATCTGTGACACCTGCTGTCTCCTCCTCAGCAGGTCTGTCTGCTGCATGTGCTCCAGTTCAACAAGCAAGCGTTCACGATCCTAAAGGAAACCATAAAAAACAGATCAGGAAAAAAAAGGCACACAAAAATCGCATCTCTTTTTACAAATCACATCCACCTTGGCACTATGATACAAAACTACTGACCATGTTGAGGGGGAAACATTTAATCTAAGTACTAACTCATTTTCCTATGAAGGACTGCACCAGGATTTTGGACGACTGGGACTCTTTTGCTTTAACACAAATATGTCACTTAGAAATTCAGTGATACAAACAACTACAATCTTTACATGAAGAGGTCAGCCTTCTTACTTTGGTGAATGTTGCTGTCCTGCTGCCAACCAACAGTGATGGCAAGCAGTATAAGATAAAATAATCTGTCAGAAAGACATTAATCATTTTTGTGTCTATCTGCTCATCAAGTAACAGGCACCTGCACGAGGTGTTCCCTTCTCAGAGCCTCCTTCCCTCTGAGACGAGCCTTCTCAAGCTGCTCCTCTCTCGTCCTCTTCTCCTCCCTCTGCAAGTCCTGCAGTCTCCTCAACTCCAGCTCAGCTTCCTCATGGGCATTAGGCTGCAGACACATGTACAGGTTAGACAGCTCTGCCAGAAGGGAGACAAACAAACTATGGGGTTAAGTGCATACATAAATCAGATGGCTTACCTGCTTTGTGTCCACCTCTCTGTCCACTGTGCTCTCAGGCATGTGGTAGTGTGTGGCAGTGAAGGCATTCACATCAGATTTCTTTACTACATGTGGCTTTTTGGAATCAATGTCCTGCTTGAACAAGAGAATACTTTGTAAACCACCCTTGCATGTTTAAACTTATATTATTGCAGACAGATAAACCAAGAACAATGTGTAAACTAGGTGCTTTTTTGAGTAATGTTCTACCCCTCTTTAAATGACTCCATTTGTGCTTTAGGTCCATTCTGGTTGTTTACTTCTGCATTGCTGTCCTGTTCTATGTTTGTACTGGATACCACAATTTGTGGTCCAGAGTAAATAAATCTGAATCTGCATCTGAATCTGAAAGAAAAAAGTCAGCTAGCAAATGTAAGTGGCCTGTCAGGCCACCAGGAAAACAGTATTATAATATTACTGTTCAAATCACCTCTATGGGGTTTGGGAGAGGTGGTGGGAGGCTGGCCACTTTTGCTGATCTTTCCTTTTCTGCCTGTAGTGCCTTCTTCCTGGCATTGATAGATCTACAGACAAGCAAAGGAACAGACTTAATATTTAGTTTATTCTGATAAAATTCAAACATGTAAACATCTTTCGAGCAAATGTTTGTGATGCTGCTTACCTGCTTTGCCTCTCCTGGTCTTTAAGCCTCTGTGATTTGAGCTCCTTCAGGGCTTCTCGATAACGCTCCTCTGCTTTCACATGATTTTCCTCCTCCCTCTGAGCTATGGCGGCCAAGTCAGGTTCCTTGTGCAATAAATCAAAATTATCACAAAAATAAATCACATGATTTGGACACTGTATTCATCTCCTTCTAAGGTTCTCTTTGGTCTTTTTTTGCGTCTCAAAATTCATCTTTCATCTTCATTGCACTGGGCAACTAACTCAGTCAACAGTGACTAAAACGTTCCAAAAGGCAGTGACAGCTTCAACAGGTGTAATGTGGTCAACCAGTGACAGAAACACCAGCTGATAAAGACAATGGACAGCTGCTTGTTTTAAACCAATGTCATCTTACATTTTCTTTTGCACTCCTGTGTCCCTGACCCAGAAGCTGGAGGCTCTCCTGGTAAAGCCTCTGCAGTGTGTTGAGTTTCTCCCTCTGCTGTTGCTCCCAGTCCTCCCTCAGCTCCTCCTCCAGCTTCTCCAGCTCACGCTGCCGTCTCTGCTCAACCCCTTGACGGATCTGCTGTGCGATGTCTCGCTGCTGCTCCCGCACCTGTAAGTCAATGCAAAATGTACATGCATACTCCGTCTTAAAATATCTGCTGATTTTGAAAACCATTAGGAGGTTTTTTTAGTTGGCTTAAAAAAGGCCAACTTGTTTTGAAATGCCTGTATTAAATGAGCTGAACACCAAATCAGAGCTGCTGTGTTAAGACTCAGTCGAGCCTGTTCATTCATGACTTTGAAACAGAGACCCGAGATGTGATGCACAGACCCCACAAGTTCAAAGTAAGGAAAACAGACATGCTGAGACAAAACTGTGATGTTTAAAACAACAGAATACATAGCCTAATATACAGAGTAAAATATCATTGCCATAAACGCAACAGGAGAACTTTTGGCAAACTGAAATCATCTAAAATACTTTCTGAATGATACCTTCAAATTTATCTTCTGCCCCTTTTGTATATTGAACTGACAGACTTCTGGTGTCTGTTTCTTTCATTTTTTACCTAAGTGCCATTTAAAGAGTGAGCAAGTGCTAGGAACTTTGGAACGCTTTGGAATAAATAGCTAAATGCAATCTCTGTCAAAAATTAACTTATGTTCAGAGAGCTACAATAACCTTTGGGGAGAAACCGAAGCAAACACAGTTTCAGTCTGGCAGACTGACTGCAACACTGGTTAATCCTGAAGTGACACGAATCCTGATCATACCTAATATATATAAATGTAAGTTTACATTATATTAGGCTACATCTTAGTTTTACACAATTTGTCTTTGTCATTTTGGTATTTCGTACTGAGTGTATTTCAAAATGGTGTTGTTGTTGTTGTTGTTGTTGAAAAAGAAAGGGAAATAAAATCAATATAATAATGTCTGATTTCAAGCCAGTCATCCACTGTATCCTAGTTGGCCTTCAGGATTTAATTCCCTTTCTTTTTAATTAGGCCTAGCTTAACTGTCAATCTTTAGTAATTAAACAGCCCTAATTCCTAAAATAAAGCTGCCTTGCTGATTATACAGTAAGGATCAGAAGTCACGGGCCTGAAGTGGGAGCAGGAGAACTTACTGAAATTAACTTGTACTATTTTTATCATGTGATATTAACTTACCTGCTGTATTCGCAGTTTTCTCCTCCTTTCATATTCCTCTCGTATTATCCGAGCCTCTTCGTTAGGGCTCAGTCTTACCTTGGCTACTTTTCTCTTCATTTTCCTCAAATATAGCTGGTGAACATTTCCCAAATGTGCAAAAAAAATGTAAAACGCAGGTAACGTTAGCGCTGGACGCTCCGTTAGCCGTGCTAGTTAAAATTGGCTACTTAGCTTCATTTTGTTGCGGTATAACGCCATTACTACCGTCCGGACAGACATTTTAAACATCTAAAACCGTAAACAATGCGAACAAATATGAAAACAGTACCAACGTGAGGCTAAAAAAAGGCAACATGAGTTTTGTTGACCATCACATATCCATGTCAACGTGAAAAAAACCGAGCTTTTTGTCCTGAACGTCACATCCGGTGGTTTAAACTGCCCGCCGTGCTTGTTCCGTCCTGGTCCAAATTGGACCCCTTGGTTCCTACCAGTAAACATGGTTCCTATTCACGATATGCCCATCTTAAAGTATTTTCCCTACAAAATAAAACGAAACTAAAAACGTTTACTCAATTAACAAATTAAAGCGATACAAAAGAAGGCAACATAAAGGACCTAAAACCACTAAACTCGTAATACCGTGAGCATCACGCTAGGGGGCAGCAGTTCTTCCGTGTGATGAGAGGAGAATGACCCATTCACTTCGCTAACGTTACTGGACAATATTCCAAACGTCCAGTGAATAACCCTTTAAACTTGTGACTGGAGCATACTGAAGGTAAGGTCTACACGAATAAAAGATCATGTTGCCATTGGGTGTTTCTTTGGCAGCCCAGGGACTTCCATTTATCTAGTGAGATTAGCACAGGGCTAACGTTAGCTAGTCTGGCTAACATTAGCTTGACGCAGAAATACACAATCAAATGCAGTTGGTGCAGCCGTCATTAGTAGTAACAGTGATTTATGCAGCTCTTGAGGGAAAACTCTTGTAGTGGTTGAATAAACATTCATATTTAGACCCTTTACTCTCCTATAAAGTACGAATATCACACTGAAAAATAATATACCACTACAAGTAAAAGCCCAGCATTCAAAGCCTCACTGAAGTAAAGTATGAAAAGTAAAAGTACTAATTGTGCAGCAAAATGTTCCTTGTCAGTGTTTAACAATTATATGTGGTGTTTCTGGATCAGTATTACTGCTGCATTAATGTGTATGTTGTATTTTAATCCTATGGATCGATAAATAGATTTGTCTCAAGCAGTTTGATGGTTAAATCTTTCTACTTATCTTCCTTCTGACAGTGTTGCCATCATGTCCAGTGGTCCAGCAGTGAGGGTCAGCATCGAGTCTTCCTGTGAGAAGCAGGTGCAGGAAGTGGCCCTGGATGGAACAGAAACATATGTCCCCCCTCTGTCCATGTCCCAGAACTTGGCAAAGTTGGCACAGAGAATCGACTTCAGCCAGGGATCTGACTCAGAGGAGGATGGGACCGAGGGGGAACCCAGGGACCATGAGTGGAGCAAGCAGGAGCCAGAGGAAGAAGAAGGTAATGTCTGCTTAGGAGGAAGCAGGGAGAATTTAGAGCCATGGTTAGACTCTGTTAGCCTGATGATTGACCCATCACTGATTCACTAGAACACTCAGGGTGCTGCACAGCTAAGTTCATCCTTAAATGTTTTTTACATGTGAAAAATCTGCAGATTTGGTTGATTGCAAGGGGAACACCAGGGAATATCAGTGAATTCTAAACATTTAATGACAGGAAAGTAGGAGATTGTGTTTTAACTTTAAACTTGCACTGGAGATGACGGTAACTCAGTAAGCTTAAACCCAGCGGTCCTGTCCTTTACTAATGCAGGTTGATTATTTTTAAAAATCCCCAATAAATTGTTCATTCTCTGATTATTTTTTCAGCTTCATGGCCCTCCTCAAGGTGATAAATTAAGTATGCAATTTAATTAATTTTTTAAAAAAAGAACAGAGGACTTTTACATCAAGATCAAGTAACAACATTTGTGAATCATTAAAATAAAGAGACTTTGCTTAACATTTATTACTGACACACCTTTATGTAACACCTTCCTATTATCAATAAAGAGGGCTCCAGTCCCTATGACTCTGCACAGGATAAGCAAGGCAGGGCACATTTATTTATATAGCACATTTCATACCCAAAGTGCTTTACAGATTACACAGGTAAAACACAAGAAACAAATGATATAAGAATAAAAGCAAGCAATCAAAAGCTCATACAATAAGAACATTAAAGGCAAACAGGTAAAAGCACATAGAGAACAACAATAAAAACATCAGAACAAACTATCAAAAACACATAGAATAAAAAAAAACATTAAAACAAAACAAGTTTAAAAGAAAATGAATAAAAAGCAATAGTGAACAGACAGGTCTGTTGAAAGTGGTCAGCATTGTCTCAAGTCCTTGCAATAATAAAATCTGATTAGTGTTGTTGTTGTTTTTTTTTGTTTGTTTTTTTTTAAACACAGGCACAGTGAAGTTCCAGCCATCTCTTTGGCCCTGGGACTCAGTGCGTAACAACCTCCGCAGTGCCCTGACAGAGATGTGTGTACTCCATGATGTGCTCAGCGTGGTGAAGGACAAGAAGTACATGGCTTTAGACCCGGTGTCTCAGGATCCAACGGCTGGCAAGGTGAAGAATATCACTACTATCACTTAACATGAATAGGAGGGTAGATAAAGATCTTACAGATAATAATCCAGTGTGACTGCAGCACTGAAGAAATGTTCAAAATGATGACGTTCTGTGGCTTATATTTGTCAAGGAGGTCTGTGCACCTTCTCTGTTTTACACACATATTTACTTCCATTCATAACAGCATTTCTTGTCCTTGTGCAGACCCCCCAGGTGTTCCAGCTGATCAGTAAAAAGAAATCATTGGGCACAGCAGCGCAGCTCCTCCTGAAGGGAGCAGAGAAGCTCAACAAGTCCGTAGCAGAGAACCAGGAGAACAGGAGGCAGAGGGACTTCAACTCTGAGCTGCTGCGACTCCGCTCTCAGTGGAAACTGCGCAAAGTAGGAGACAAGATCCTAGGAGACCTCAGCTACCGAAGCGCAGGTGATGAGGCCTCTAATGTATATTCAGTCAAATCTGTGAAAGGCTTTTTGCCCAACGTAGTTGTCATATTGTCATACTGTGTTCTGCAAAGTAACATGTGGACACTTAACATGTAGCCTAATCCTGAGCTAATGTTTTGACAATTTACACATGCAGGTTCATTTTTTCCTCACCATGGCACGTTTGAGGTGATCAAGAACACAGACATTGATTTGGACAAAAAAATCCCAGAAGACTACTGCCCCCTCGATGTCCAGATCCCCAGTGATTTGGAGGGATCTGCTTATATCAAGGTGAGAGGGAAACCACAATGGCACGTTCCGTTAAAATACAGTCTTTTCTATGAGCGGTATAAACATATGTCTGTGTTGAATAGTCAGCAGCTGGACTTCATTGATTACCTGTTTCTTACTCACCACTGCATTTTTTAATAGCATAAAAGGAAAAGAAACAAAGGAAATCCTTCTATAAATTATCTTGAGGCAGTGGTGAAAATTAGAGTTAGTTATGTAGAAATTATTTGGTGGACTACCTGTGTAGTGCATCTATAGTTTTTTTTGTATGTTATTTTACAATATCCATGCTAAGGTCTCCTGTCATCCCATATGTTGTCTGAAGATTTAGTAGATAGTTTTCATAGTGGAATATTGTTTATGTCTTCAGGTGTCCATCCAGAAACAAGCTCCAGACATTGGTGATCTGGGAACTGTCAACCTGTTTAGGAGGCCACCAAAAACCAAAGCCGGTATGGTTCAATACAGAGAGACATGACATTGCACAACTTCCAACAACCATTAAAGGAATAGTTTTGATTTTTTTAAAGGGGTTGTATGAGGTACTTAGTTCATCGTTTAGATCCATAGTTAGTGTATTACCTTCAGTAGATGGCGGCATGCCTCCAGTGTGGAGAAGCAGACAGGAGTACAGCCACAGAAATTAATGTATGCTATTTTTAGAATATTTTCACTGTTTTACCTTGCAGTCATACAACCCTTTCCGATGGGGAACTGAAGCTGTTATATCCATCTGTGTTTTCTTAAAAGTCACCAGACATTTTGATGAAAACAGTCATTTAACGTGCTGAACACAGACCAGTTAGTTTGTTTGTATCATTGTGTGACTGGTGTTTTAAAGGGTTAGTTTGGATTTACCAAAGTCACACAATAATACAAACAAACTAACTGATCAAAGCAGCAGTAGATCAGCAACTTCTGAGTTCTGTGGGATAAAATTATGCTTTTGTCAAGAGTCTGGTGGCTTTGAAGAGAGCATCGATAATGGCTTTAGTTCCCTGTTGGAAATCACTGTCTGAGGGCAAGATAAAGTGGTGAAAATATTCTAAATAAAGCATGTACCTAAACTGATATTAATTTATTTACATGGCTAAAATATGTTCTGTTGCTGCCCCTATCCACAGCACTACATTACTTAGATTCTGTATCTGCACTCCTGCTGCCTCCAAACTGGGGTTGTGCCGACCACCATCTGTTGTAGGTTTACACTGACTACTGTATATTTAAGTACCTCATACAACCCCACTATCCTTTTGAGTCTGGTTCAAAAACTGCCTGTAGAATTAGTAAATGTATGTAATGTCATCTTTTAAAATCACCCTACTCTCTTTTCCTCCACATCGCATCATTTTTATCATCTTTCATCTCTTCCCATTCTCGCTGATCTCTCTTCCTCCTGACGTCCTCTCCGCCCAGGTACCCAGCTGTGGCACGTCAAGCTGGAGGCGGCTCAGAATGTTTTGCTCTGTAAGGAGATCTTCGCCCAGCTGTCCAGGGAAGCTGTCCAGATTAAATCCCAGATCCCTCACATTGTGGTGAAGAATCAGATCATCTCACAGCCTTTCCCAGGTTAGAACACTCACAACATGTTTTTGTTGGACGATATGAGAAAATCTATGTTTGATGCATATTTAAAGTGAAAATGCATCACTACAGGCCTCTGCTGTGTTCTAATAGTTCTACATTAGTACCTTATTTTAAAAGTGTGTATGAACAATAAATTAATTCATCCAAGGTTCAGTTGCTCCCCTGGTCAGATATAATTTCTAATATTTGCATTTGAATGACATTGAAAAAAGGTAAAACGTTGTTAACAGATTAAACATATTATCATCTGGGTCTGTGGAGTTTGCTTTATTTTTTCTTTTCCACCATGTTTTTTGCTGTATAGGTCTGCAGCTGTCCATCTCACTGTGCCATTCTACGGGGGAGAAGAAGAACCATCGGGCGTCACCAGAGAAACCCAAACCAGACGACCACCTTTACGTACTGGAACACAATCTACATCAAATGATGAGAGAGGTGAAACACTATATGAAGTCACTCTGCATCTCATCTGAAGCTGCTGCCTAGTAGAGATATTAGCTCATTGCAGATACATTATATCATCATATATGTTAGTGGATAAATGATAAGAAATTAGCATATAGATAATATATGTTTTGAAACAGGGTCACTGCTCTGTTGTTTGTCTACCAGCAAATAGTGACAAGTTTATTTTTCCACTGTATAAATGTCCCAGCCAGCTCATTTCCTGTTCACAATTTTAAAAACCAAACAAAAAAAAATTAAGGGATCATGTGTAAAGAAAATTAAAATCAGCCAATATATCATTACAGGATTTTTAAAACTCTCAAGTATCATACTCACATCTCATAATTATCTGCCTCTGATCTGCTGTAGCGGTCGGGTTGGGCTCAGCTGGAAAACTTTAACAGCCAAATTGAGTCTTATTCACAGGATAAAACCAGAGACCATGTTGTAGTGGGAACACTCCAGCTGTGATACAGTGAACCAAAACTTAGCGAATGTTAGCCTGAAGCGTTAAGTTGTTGGGGGGCAATGGCTCCCTGCCTACTTGCTACACCCCTACTTCTGACCCCCTTGCACAAACCACGCCCATCTTCAGGAGACAACGGCACATCCTTCAACACATTCAAACCAGAATAAAATATTGCTTCAAATATATCTAGAAAACTACCATCCATACAGATCTTTCATTTCATTCATATCAGTTAAATTCTACCAGTCTTCATTTTATGTAACAACCTTGTCCATGTTTACAGTTCCACAAGCAGCAGCTGAGCTCTGTGGTGATGCCACATCCTGCTAGCGCCCCCTTTGGCCACAAGCGCATGCGCCTAGCAGGGCCACTGGCCTACGACAAAGCTGAAATCTCCAGCTTGCAACAGAGTGAGGGGCTCCTCGAGAAGATCATCAAACAGGCCAAACACATCTTCCTACGTAGCAGGTAACTTAAGTTGTATTAGCTATGATTTTATTTTTCGACTGGTCACAAAACACAGTTGCCAGTGGCAGTTACGGCATTGTCCCACAACATTTTGGTTACAGTAACATTAGGGGCCAGTAAACATTCAACTATGCAACATTGTTTTACCACCAGAGATATTGTATGTAGAACCAGTTTGCAGAGGAAATAGTTTGAGGTCATGAAGGTGAGTAATATTTGCTTAGTTACAAATCAGCAGACATTGCTCAGTCCATATGATATCAAAGTCCCAAACAGCAACATGTACCTCACTGTTTGCAGTGCCACATCTGGCCAAAAGGTGGCATGTTTTGTCCTTGCTCATCAAAATTTCATCTCAGGAAAATACATTTATAAGCGTAGAAATTATAACTAGCAATATATTTAGTATTTTTGTTAAGGCAGTGTTAACTATACAACTCTGAATAAAGCCCTATACTAGGTTTAATCTTTAGCCACTTGGTTCATAATTTAGCAGTATTAATGTCTGTGATCACCAGGACGGCGCGGACTATCGACAGCCTGGCGAGCCGCATAGAGGACCCGCAGATCCAGGCTCACTGGTCCAATATCAACGATGTGTATGAGTCCAGCGTCAAGGTGCTCATCACCTCTCAGGGCTACGAACAGATCTGCAAGTAAGTGGAAGAAAAGCGGGAAGGATAATGGAAAAACCAGAGCATAGAGGGGGACACTGTGGGCAATACGGGGTACCTGCTAATGTTTTAATGAGCCACAGTGAGCATCTGCGAGCCCTTTAAATACATTTCAAATTGTATGTACTGAAAGTTGTGGATTGTGATTGGAGGCCTTTCAGTTTTACTACCATTATGAAATTTGAAATAGCAGTGACAGATATGACAGCGAAATACAGGCAACAAAATCCTTATAGTTGTCTGCTTTTATGAAATGCATTTTTTAAGTCCATCGTTATGTATTTCATTACCATCACATTTGTTCTCATTCTGCCTGATTGACACCTACGACCAGTCTTGGGTAAGTCTTGACATGTTTTGTGTGTTAGGTCCATCCAGCTGCAGCTGAACATTGGTGTGGAGCAAATCAGGGTGGTGCACAGAGATGGACGTGTCGTCACATTATCACACCAGGAACAGGAACTGCAGGACTTCCTCCTCTCACAGGTATCACAGCTCCCTCATTGTTAACTTCCCACACAGTTGTTGGAGGAGGCTGTATTTACTGGAAGCAGTATTTCTGACCGCAGACCTGTTGAGCTTTTAACCTATGTACATACAGTTTTTGAACAGGTTTTAAATGCAGGACGTTTACTTGTATAAACTTGTTTTTTCACAGTGTGCTATTGCTACTTTTACAGATGTCGCAGCATCAGGTGCATGCAGTTCAGCAGCTGGCCAAAGTGATGGGCTGGCATGTCCTAAGCTTCAGTAACCATGTAGGCCTGGGCCCAGTGGAGAGCATTGGAAATGCCTCCGCTGTCACTGTTGCCTCGCCCAATGGAGAGTACGCCATCTCAGGTGAGAAGAGAGTTGTAAAGATCATTCCAGAAAGGAAGTTCTCCTTTATCATAAGCAAATCATATTTTAAAATAGATTTAAAACTATAATTAACTGCCTCGTGATTATATGCCTCCACAAACCTGTCAAGTTGCAGTTATAGTTTGCATCAGTGTCGTGGAAAAAATTGCTTCACACACATCTTCCCCCCAACAGCACGGGAGATCTATACAGTCAGCACAGTTTCAAGGCGGGCACCCAAGATTAGTGCCACCAATTCAGTATCTAACTGTCTCCCCTTTTTTGCAAAACATTATGATGTCACAATAAATTTGACCTTTGACCTTTGGATATAAACGTCATCACTTCATTATTATATCCTATCAGACATTTGAGTGAAGTGTTGTCATAATCAGCATATGAATTGCAGAGTTATGAACAAAAAAAATGATTTGTGAGGTCACAGAGACCTTGACCTTTGACCACCAAACTCATATCAGTTCATTGTTGAAAGTGGACGTTTGTGCCAATTTTGAAGAAATTCCCTCAAGGCGTTTTTTGAGATATCACGGTATGAGAATGGGATAGACAGAAAACCTGAAAACATAATGCCTCTGGCCAATGTCAGCACCGGTACAGAGACATGAAAATCAGCTACTCGTAAAGCTGTATTGTTGCTAATATGGTGTGTCATTTTTGGTCTGCTACATAAATTGCCAGATTTCTAGTGCAATAACTAGCTTTATAGTAAAATAATGTTTTATCAGGTCTTTTTGTCAGTGTCTAGACAGAAATGCATGAAAATAATGCAGTTTCTTTTACCACCATTCAGCCTAATTGACCAGAATGCAATGCAGCAGGGATGAGCGCTGTTGAATGTGGGGTTAATGGACCCAACTTTGCCTTCCTTACAAATAAGGGTAGCGACTCTTGCATTGCTCTCACCGAATGCAACTCGGACACACCCAGTCTCAACTATTGAATTACTCAAGATCACACAAACAGGTTGATACAGGTTGAGGCATCATTAAGAAAGTAAAACACTTCACCACAGAATCACTCCTGGAATGCGTCATTTCAACATAATGAATTAATGTTTCTGACATTGTAATAGTATCCTAAGGCAGTTTGATAAGTACTGCCTTTGAAGTAAAACTGAATATCCTCATAACCATAACAAGGCAGGTTGTATTAACATCAGCAGATTTTAGTTACTAACATGTTGTCTGTGTATCTCTGTTTGTCTTTTCAGTGCGTAACGGCCCAGAGAGTGGGTGCAAAGTTTTGGTCCAGTTCCCCCGCAGCCAGACCAAAGAGCTGCCGAAGAACGACGTCATCCAGGACACCAAGTGGAGCCACCTCAGAGGGCCGAGCAAAGAGGTCCACTGGAGCAAGATGGAGGGACGAAACTTTGTCTACAAGATGGAGCTTCTCATGGCTGCTCTGACTCCCTGTCCGTAGATACAGTCAGTCTGCGGACTCCTCCCTCATTACAAAGCCATGTTTTATATATGTTCAGCCACAACATTTGAAAGGGACAGCAGCACAAAGGCTTTGCAGTCATGATACAGACAGCTCCATCAAAAATGTGACATTTTCTTTTTTGATACTGCCACAATCTTCTTTCCACCTCCAGCAGTGTCTGCTGCCTGCTCTGTTTTTGATTGTGTGTGTGTGTGTGTGCGTGCGTGCGTGCGTGCGTGCGTGTGTGCATGCGTGCGTGTGTGTGTGTCCGTGCATGTGTGCGTGTGTGCGTGTGTGTGTGTCCGTGTGTGCATGTACCTCACACACTTTGATACAAAATAAAACATTAAGTCTGTCTGTATTTGTGCAGATTTGTCATAATAAGAATAAAGCTGTGAATCAGTTTTTTCTTAGGAGTTCTGGCAAACACTTCAGTGTATTTCTAGTATGAGGAATATGTTTCTGTAGTTTTGCTTTATCGCATGTCAGATTTGAGCAACAGCATTTTGGAGAAAATGACTTTCTTCAAATTCAGATTCATCAGTTTTAAGAAAGAACCACATGTGAGGTTTTAGTTCACCTTTAATTAAAGGTCCAGTGTGTAGGATTGAGGGGGATATATTAGCAGAAATATCTACATAGGAAGCGGCTCCTTATCCACGGAGTTTCTGCAATTGGACAAACCTAACTCTAGCCCTTTCTACAGAGATTGTGCTATAGGGCAGCGTCGAAGTCCCTCTTTTATGCTGCCTTTGAATTTTTACGCAAAACCAATCAGTGGTGGACTCATGCCACTCTAGTGTGTAATTTTAGACAGCATGATGGCATCGCTGAATGAAAAGAGGCATTACAGGCAGTAACGTTAGAGAGTCGGCCTCTAGTGCGACATATCACATATGTGTCAGCAGCGCTTTATAAACAATAACAATGGCATTAACATGACAATAACAATAATTTACCGGCCATGTTATATGCCGGTTAATCTGGTCTTCTGTTGAGAGGGCAAGGAGCTCCCAGACCTCATTGTTTTCCCAATTGATGACACAATTTGGACTCTGTTGTTCTCTGAGTTACCAGCTGCTTTTTAAATCTCCCACCAGTAGGTCACACACATAAAACGTCAAAATATCACTCCTATCCCATCCATGTTCCCTTCCTGCCAGCTGTACAGCCATCATTTCGGTGCTTTTACTACCTATGCTACCAGCTTGGAGGCGAGACAACCCAATTATCCCATTCTGCAATTGTACCTAAGCAGCATAACAGCATGAAATTCCCACCCTGAAGAGGCAGTGCAAAAGGGGCTAGTGGCTGTTTACATTTTCGCATTGGCCACCACAGCCTCTCTGTGACATGCCAAACAGTGTTTTTACTTGTTTCAATCACCCTATTTGTTTGTTTTGGAGAGGAAGAGACCTCTGCATTTAATTCTGGTCGCAAATTTGCAACTTGCAATCCTCACTGGTAGATGACACTAAATCCCCTTAGATCTTACACACTGCTTCTTTGAAGTACAGATGTTATGCAAGAAAAAGTTGACTGATTTATTGTAATCAAACTCTTTTCTTTAACATGCTGTGTATATAGATGCTAATACAGCTTTTTTTAAATGAGCAGCAGTCTCATTTATGCTTGTTTTTTCACTCTCTAGTCTTATGGTTCTCCCCGTTTGATCACTGCATCAGAAGTCCGATACAGACTACCTGCCGAGAAACTTTTTCCAAGGCCTGTTTCATGTCTTGATGGTTGTTGTGAAGAAAGAACAAGTGAAAGAAAACCACACCATTCATTTGCTCAGACAATAAATACAGTATGTATTGTTTTTTCAGTGTCATGGATGATATATTTACATTCAATCCAGTGTCCACAGCAGTGAGCTGTAAATGCATGTGTATTCAATACAAATGTAAACATCTTGGTACACAGTTTTTCTTTTTTCAAGCCATCTGGCTGTAAGTAACTTGTTGGATTAAAAAAATGCAGTTATTTTATATACATACATAACTTTTAAAAAGTCCAAGTTTGACAGACAGTCTCTCGTGTTTTCCTGCAGCCTGATGTCCATCAAAGAGGCTGCAGCTCTGTTGCATCATTTTCTGCATAAAGGGAGAATAGCACTTAACATATTGACGTAACAAAGCTATAAATGACCTTTGTCCTCAAACACACCCCTGCTTAGACACAATAGATAACTTCAACCCACATTCACGCCCATTAAGCCATATTCATACATTCCACACAATGATGCAGCAGTAATAAAGTAAACTGTGAACTCCAGGGCAAACAAACCTCTCATATACACAACCTTATAAAAACATGGTTCTTTTTTCATGAAAATCAAGCATATAATATCTTTGTTTAAATATATATTTATCACTATCTAGACAGGTAGCACTACCTGCCATGTTTTACTTTCCTTTTTATTTACTCTTTACACCAAGATACTGTAATTACTCCCAGTGAGTTGTGAACTGAAGTTTATCTTGTGAAAGTTTCAGTGCAAACATCAGACCACACCATTGCTCCTAATAAAAGACCATGTACTTAAGAGACTTATTTCTCATGTTGTTTTACCTGGCATCTGTTTCCTGCGTCTCCATGCCACTATCTTCCTGTAGGCCTTGTCTAGTAGCCACATGGCCAGCATGAGAAGGCCAGCCAAACAGGCCAGTGCTAAGGCAGAGACAGACAGGTACTGAAGGTCCTCGTACAGCACCTCTGGAGGACAGGGACACAGGAGCCACACCACGTTTACCTCAAAACATTTAAAAAAGCCTTTTCATAGACTACTTTCCAGAGATGCAAACACAGGACACACATGAAGAGATGAGGTAACATGGTAGCAGGAAGACAATTATTGGGTTCAATGTCATGGTTGTGTCTAAATTACAAAAACAAAATAATACAGTATGTATAATTATTGTCACAGTAATCCTTTTGACGCTAAAATCAGGTCGTAAAGTTTTTCAAAGACACAACTGCTCATGTTGCTTACTGATGAATAACTATGATAAACTCAAACTACATGCCAGATCTGAAGATCTAAAAATCACATATAATGTTCAAAATGTCACTCCAGACTGTCGCTACCTTCATAGATGCTGGAGTAACAGTCTGTACATCATTAATGTGTCCATAAAATGTGTGAGGTTGCCATTTTTTGTTTCTTTTTTATCTACTTTCATTCAGGGAAGTTTGTGTGTGTGTGTGTGTGTGTGTGTGTGTGTGTGTGTGTGTGTGTGTGTGTGTGTTATGTGCATGTGCAGACAATTGGCAAACCTCGACAGGGCAACAACTGTTACCAAAACAAGTTTGAGCAAGGCATACTTGCAGTCAGACTGCCTCCGTGGAGCTTACAGCAAGACTCTGGCTATTATTTCATGCTGGAATTAGTACCATAAGTGCTGAGAAAATCAGGTCACTGGCTGTAATTTGTTTTACATCCTGTTTACTGGCCCACTCTTGCTGTTTTTATTGTAGTCTGATTTGCTGTTGCTTGTACTGGGCAGCAGGTATAAGAGTGTGAAAGCAAGCTCTGCTAATTTCCTTAAACCTATGACTCTAGGCTGCAAAGACATGGTCAAATTAGGTTTTCGAAAATGTAGCTGTCTTATCTATTGCATTGGGAATGACATACACAGAGGCCCAGACCCACTCACCATTCACTTTTAGGACAAATCCAGCGTCCTTGCTACTTCCTGCTGTTTCTGTGACAGTGACCACGTAGTATCCAGCGTCTTGCAGCCGCAGGTCTGACAGGCCCATTGAGCCATTGTTGAAGGCCTGCACTCTGCTGCTGTAATCCACTGTTATGTTGGTGTACACCCCTGGCCGCCAAGTCCCTATGGTGCGGCTCACCGCCCCTGACATAAAGGTCCATTGTATGGTGGGGATCCCGTTACAGGTAACATCCACTGAGAAAAACACATCCTCCTGCACCGACCTGGTCAGGCTCCTCTGGGGAGAATGGATGGAGATGGCTCCAGCTTCCAAAGTGAAAAGAATAAAGAGATGTGAAAAAGATGTAAAGATAAAACATTTTCAGATTCACTTTGAAATGAACAAATAAATACATATAAAGATATGGGGGCCACATTGATAGATTATGTAAGTAGGTAGGCAGGTAGGTAGACAGGTAGGAAGTAATATTTCACACTGTATTCTTGTTACAATCACACCTTTACCTTCCTTTTTTAGCTCCTGTTCAACCTTCACCCAGGTAGGACCATAATTACAGGAGAAACATGTCAGTGTATGACACAATACAGCTCTATAAAAAGAAAATGTTTTACCTCACAGGTTTTGCATCTCATGACACTGTGGCTGGCAAATACTGTGACTCATTTGCATTTAATTCAAGCAGAAGTGTATAAATAGTAATGTGTTGTTCTGTTAGTTTTTCAAATTACAAGCCTCTTGCTGGAGGAATGAAACTTGTCAAACAAGCTGAGAAGTACCAGTTTGAATGTATCCAACAGTGTTGGCCTCCTTTCTGTTTTGGCCGCCCCTCATCAAATATTTTCACAGGAGTTTCAGTGGGGGATCTGGTTCTGCTGGTGGTGTTTGCTTTATGAGACACAGGTAAAGAATTCCACCTGAGAATACCAATGCTGACTAATAAACAAGAAGACAGTGTGGGAAAAACTGCCTGTCCTTTTCTTCAGACACCACAGTTATAATAATGAGCAATAAACCTCCATAATACAAAATTCTTAGAAGAATCTATTTTTTAACTTTTTTTTTTATTTTTTTAAAAAAACATGCTTGTTTGTTTCCCATTAATTTTAGCAAAGAAGCTGGTCATGGTGTAGTTATTCTGTGCAGCTTAACTTCCAGTTGTAATTAAATCAGCTACTGCTCTTTCCCAATTCCTTTTCATTTTCTCTGGGATTCAGATTTTCTCGAGTGCACTGGGACCTTGGGTTCGGACCAGGACAATCTGATGTTTACGTGTACACAGCCATGTGTTCGTGACTGTGTTGTGTTGATCTACTTAGCCCTGGTATACAAGACAAGACACAGAACCTGATAAAATATCATGAATCTGTTCTCCAGTCTGAACTCCTGCCTGGTTCTCAATATAAGACCCTTTTAAAAGGGCTGGAACCTTAGACCTGAGCAAATATAGGATTACCATAAAGGCATGCTCTCAAACACAACAGTCAAACACATGGGCTCTCTGGAGAGGATAAAATTATAGACATGTGCTGGATTGCTTACCTAGGTGACACATATATAATGTGATGCTGAGAAACACAGCAACATCTTGTACATCCCAGAGCCTGAAATGCCACATTAGAATCCCAGACCCATTGGTCAAACCGCAGTAAAAGAATCTCCTCCAGGTTATTTCACATTCTGAAGAGTCCTCCGTTCTGTCTGTCCTCACAAAACTGCCTCTTCTTGTTCTCACAGTTCCTCTTCCACTGTCCCTTGTACAGGTGTTTCTGTATGTGACTTTTCCCCCTAGTTTGTCTGAGAAACTGAAGTTCCTGTCACAGAAGTGCTGCAGTTCCTCTCCTCTCTCAGGACTGTGCTGGATTTCTCTTCATACCTGCGCAAGTCAGTGCCAGCCAGCCCACACCTATCAGACAGGTTCAGCCAGAGATTACTGAGCAAACATGTACTCAGCGTTCTGTGATCTCACACACACACACCCACCCACCCACACACACACACACACACACACACACACACACACACACACACAATGCTACTAAACACACATACATCTTACTCAATTTACTTACTACCGTCACCCCGCCCAAAAAACACTCACCTGTATATGCAGACACACGATCACAAAAAATGAAACCAGAATAGGTTGTATCACTTGGTGCTCACGCTGTGACACACCTGGTAAAACATGTCAAACAGGAAGTGTGTATTCACACTTATGCACCAGGGAAAACAATGAACACAATAACAGTGAACTGGCTGACTTAACTTTGGAAGATATGAATAAGATGTTTGATTCTTTGCCTGTGTGTTGTGACATTTTCATCCCTCATTTCCTTTTTAAATCATGTTGACAGGATCTGGCTGTCAGAAACCTACATTTTTATATTAATTTGCGCAGTTTAGTCCTTTAAAGCTCCACTGTAATGGATTTAGCTGCATCTACTGGAAAAAATGAATGGAATATTCATAACTATATTTTCGTAAGTTTACTATTACCTGAAAATAAGAATCATTGTATTGTTACTACCTTAGAGTGAGACGTTTTTATCTACATACAGAGTGGATCCTCTTCCACTGAGTCCACCATTTTTTTCTACAGCAGCCAGGAACAGACAAACTAAACACAAGCTCTAGATGGGGCCATTTGCGTTTTCACATCGGCTACTGTAGGAGAAGTTTCAGTTTTATGACATCACCGCTAGATGCCAGTAAATCTTACACACCAGACCTTTAAAGGGGAACACCACCTATATGAAAAAGTCCAGTATGTTATTTCCATGGCCTAGGAAAGTTCAATCAATATTTCTGAACATACTACTACTCTCTTGTAAAGCCAGAAACCAAAGAAGTATAGGTCTCAAACTTGGGATGTTATTAAGTAGCCTATAAAAGTATGGAGCTGCTCCATAGACAATGAATGGGAGACTGATTGTGTGGATCCACAGGATGCTTATTTAATTTTCTTTACCCAAATGAGCTTTACTCTATTGTAGTGTTCTCAGTTCTGAAACAGAAAATGTACACATATATTCAGAACATTCCCCTGGGTGCTCTCAGTGTCATCTACAACATCTTTCACCTTTCATTGTCTGTGGAACAGCTCCGGGTTTCGAAAACTCTTTTCCTAAGATAATATATCCTACTATCCTACTATCCTACTATTAAATGGAGAAACCTCTGTTCCTCCGTCCGTCTGTCTGTCATCATCCGTTTTCCTCCTCACTGCTTTGACCTATTTCTCTGAACTTGCACATAGGCTTTCATCTTGGTCATGTGCAGACAGCCACGATGCGGTTTTTGCATTTTTCCCACATTTCTACTGTTTATATTTGCGTTTTTCCACTACCCATTCATACTGTGAGCACCATTAGCAGCGCGAGCTGCGCATGCGCGGAGACCACTTGGGGAACACCTGCGCTCGACCACGGTTTATGGCTGGGACATGCAATTTCAAACACCAACACTTGCTGAAGACTAAGGTAATGATTTTACTGAACGAACACGCGTCTGTGTCTGTGTGCGCGCGTCTGTGTCTGTGTGTGCGAGCCAGCCATTATGTATTTTCACTTTACTGACATTAGCCTACAAACATTACAAACTGTACACTTTGCACTGTTTCTTTCATTCCTTCTCCGTGTTGCATGTGTACCTGTGTGCCCGCGCACGGCCCCGCGCATGTGCGTGCCTCCGTGCCGTCAGCCAAAACTATGCTCCATGTATTTTGCCTTAAAGCATGTTTCTAAATACAGTGTACATTGTTTGTCTTACATTAATATTTATTACACAGTGCATTTTTATAGTGCTCTGATTTTGCATCTCCTATAATATACTGTTTTTGATTTCTTATTTCTCTATACATAACACATCCCCGGGTATGGACTAGTTATTTATTATAAGCAAGTATAGCTACTATACGAATGTGCAATAAATGAAAGCTACTATTGTTTATGTGATTACACATGCAGCGCAACATAAATGATAGACAAGTTAACACCCATAATACATTCTACTTTTCCAAATTTTAATACATTTAAAAGTAATGCAACAGAGAGACAGTGCAGTGTTTGACATTGATTGTACTGTACCTACCCACAACAGTCAAGCAATGGCTTTTGCTGAGGCGCTGCATCACCACATGGACAAACATGCAGAAGTGCAGTACATTGTAATACTAGAACCAGTAGTAATAATAATGGCAATTCGTTTGGTTTATTCATAATTATGATTAACCCTGGTAGAAATATGAACAAGTTTTTCCAGGTCTGCTTTTGACATGAAGATTCTGGGGTGGGTTATATTTGTAAGATCATAAACAGCTGATCGTGTCACTGTTTTTATGTGGCTATTTAGACTAATATCAGAGTCAACTATGATGACAAGGAGGGCACCACAAGTCACAGGAGTCGACTTTAATATTTGGGAAGTTTATCCCTCGAGGCACCTTAGGACCAAAAGGGTCCATTCTGCTGATTTTATTTTTTTGATTCTCAATATATGTCAGTTTAAAGGTTAATTGTATGAAACTTGGCCAGGATTTGTTTTTTACTATTATTTTTAAAATTCCATGACCCTCTCTTTCCCAAGGTGTATAGATTAGGAGATATAAAATTGGCATCCAAGTGTTAACTTAAGGACCTTTTTGGGCCCATTGACTCCCATTATAACCACATATTTTTGATATGTTGTAATCCTGACATATTATAATGCTTTTCCCATGAAAACCTAATAAATCTAAGCCTCTCCCTTCAAAAATAAAGGGAAAACAGGTTTTAGGTCTGATGACCCCCCTAAACCACCAGGAGCAGCACAGCTCATTAGCATAAAGTTTCAAGACGTTACAATGGTTCTCTTACCACGCAAAATGTATGGCAATATAAAAGCTGAACACCACAAAAATGGTCTGTGTTGTTATGGATATAAAAGAGTGGTGTGAATGTGGTTGAGACTATATTTTGCCTGTGTGAGAAAGTAGGCTACATTGCACTTCACGGCTCTTATAAGTTTAGAGCATAGGCCTGAGTTGTCCTCCATAAGACACACACACAGCTATAATTAATTCTATCTTTATGTCTCTATGCTGTTTTTGTCCTGTGATTTTTTATTTTTTTTTAGGGCATTTTTTGCCTTTAATTGACAGGACAGTGAAGTGTGAAGGGGGGAGAGAGAGGGAGAGCCATGCAGCAAAGGGCCACAGGCTGGACTCGAACCCAGGCCGCTGCGGCAACAGCCTTGTACATGGGGCGTCTGCTCTACCACTAAGCCACCGACGCCCCGTGATTTTTTTTTTATCCTTTTATTGGTTTCAAAACATCTTGCCAAAGGACTGCAGTTGAAAATTAGCCATTTACAGAAATGTTGATTAATGTGAGATGTCCTTAGAAATAAAAGAAATCTAAAAACATTTGGAAAAAAAATCTAGCAGAGAGGTGGAAAGCTGTGGCCAGTGAAGAAATTGTTTCTTCAGTATGGTGCATCGGCATCCCCTGGATGGCAAGCCATCTTCAGGTCATCACCTCCATGTGTCAATACAATTTCAGTCAGTAGCACAATCACATCATCACAGTGTAGCAGTGAAAAAACAGTGCATGCCCTGAATGGTAAAGCATCATATATTTAATTATTTAATTATTCATGTGTTCATTTAGAATAAATAATGAATTTATTTATTTATTTGTTTATCATGTCAATCGTGAATGGTAATCTTCATGTCAGTAAAGAACACTGAAATTTAAAAAATATGAATGGAATCCTGGAATTCTAAACATCAAAGCGAAATAGAATGACATCATCAGCACACTGACACAGAATGTGATGTCTTTGTAACATCACAATACAAGGGAAAGGAAGTTTGCAAGTAGGACCCCTTAACATAAGCGTTGTGTGGGTGAAATCTTTGTGAGGACACTTCAGACCTTTCAACGAGAGAAATCTTTGCAAGATGCAGTGCGACAGAGTCTTCAGAAGAAACAGGAGGACCGTCAGACAGCGGCCCAGAGTTCGATCCCTGGATGCCGCATTAATGGAGTGCCATCAACTTTGCAATCAGGTCCAAGAACTTCACAACCTGTTGGATAGACAAAGACAGGAGTTTTTCTATGAGAAAAACGAACTTAGCCAGGAGTTAGAGGACACCAAACAACAACTGGCTAAGCAATCCCTGAAAAAGATCCACATAAACAGGGAAAAGAAGACCAAAAGAGAGAGAGGGTCAAAAAATATGCTGACCCTGAGACTCTCAATGCATATAACATGGCTGTCCAGGTCAATGAGACCAAGGGGCAGAAAAGGAAGAAAGAAAAGAAAATCCTCCAACAAAATGCCCTGGCGGATCAGACTTCTTTCCAGACACAGATGGAGGAGCTGACATCCCAGTTCAACAACCTGTCCCTCAACGATGAGCTCTCAATGGAGCTCAAGGCTGAGAGAGAAGACGATTGACAACCAAGGAAAAGGGCCAGATGAGAGGACGAGCCAAACAAACAGGAGCCCGAAGGATAAAAAAAAAAAACCTGAGAAGCGGAAGAAAAACAAAAGGCCCCAAAACTGAACCTCCATTACCACAAATAACCCGTTGCCCCCCCTCCATAAGTAGACCCTTTCCTACAAGACATTTTCACTTGTGAGAAGTCAGAATGTCTGCTGGAATAATGTCTGTTTATGGGGGGAGGGGCATGGGGGAGAAGTGGATTTGAGATAACACCCCCCTCGTAACTGTATGTGTATGTGTATGTATGTGTGTGTGTGTGTGTGTGTGTGTGTGTGTGTGTGTGTCTGTCTGTCCCCTCCTGTCGCCCTTTCGCGGAATTTCGTGTGGCATGACGTTCTCTCTTCTCACCAGCAGAGGAGGAAAAAGCAAAAGATACTGGTAGTGGTACTTTCACATTAGTGAAATGGGGTTCAACTC